AAGGAGCCAAGGATCCCCAAATTTATCTACAAGGGTAATGTAATGCCAACTGCAATCCTTACAGACGTATATTGGGGGTAGAAATTGACATCCTGATTCTAAAATTTATATAGGAACACACACACACACACACAACCCCTTAAAAATAGTCAGGTCTATCTTTAAAAAGAACAGAGTAGGAGGGCTCACACTAACAGATTTTAAGCATAAATTACAGAATTTGAGACAGTGTGGCACTGATGTAAGGACAGTTCACCTAGATCCATGGAACACAATGGAAAGTCTAGAAACAGACCCATGTGCATGCTCGAAGTGAGGTGGAGATTTAAAGGCACCAAGGGACTGGGCCTGGTGGCTTATATTTATAACCCCTGTACATAGGAGGCTGAACCAGAAGCACTATGAATTTAAGGTCAGTCTAGACTACCTAGTGAATCAAGGCCAGCCTGGGTACACAGTGAGACTCTGTCCCCAAAAGAGAAACACAATAAAGGAATAAAAATGAAAAATATGGGCTAGCGCGATGGCTCAGTGGCTAAGAGCACTGATTGCTCTTGCAGAGGATCCAGGTTTGATTCCACCCACATGGTGGCTAACAATCATCCATAACCCCTGTTCCAGGGGATCCAGCGCCCTCTTATGACCTTTGTGGGTATTATGTGACATGGGTACACTTACACACATACAGGGAATACACTCATACCCATAAAATAAAAATAATAAATAAGATTATTTATTTATTTATTTATTTATTTTTGGTCTTTTTGAGACAGGGTCTCCCTGTAGTCCCAGCTGGCCTGGAACTCGCTATGTAGACCAGGCTGGCTAGAACTCACAGAGATCCATCTCCCTCTGCCTCCTAAGTACTGGGATTAAAGGTGTGCCCCACCACGCCCGGCTCAAAAATAATAAATAAAATATTTTTTAAAAAATGTTAAAATAGATTCACCCTCCCATCTCCCCCGCCCATCTCTCCTCCTAGCCTGGGACCTGTCCCATTCCTTGTCTTGGCACCCCAGACACCGGGGTAACCACTACTGCTTCCTGATCCTTTGCATCCAGACCAACCCAGTTCCTTCTGGGGTCCCCAGGAGCCTTCTGGGCCTGGCCCTGCCCTCACCTTCCTCTGCTTCCCTGGGCTGTACAACCTGTCAGCCTCTTTCCTGGAAGCTGGGGCTGACCTTTCCACTTCCTGATCCTTTGCATCCAGACCAACCCAGTTCCTCAGTGCAGTCCCCAGGAGCCCTTGGGGCCTCTTCCTGCCCCCATCTCCCTTTGCATCTCTGGGTAGCAGGCCACCAGCTGCTCTAGATCATTATCTTTCCTGGGCCCTGCTCCCAGGCCAGTCCAACCCCCAAATTCCTGAGGTCAAAATCTTTCCTGGAGGGATCCAGACCTTAGGAGAAAGACTGAGAGCATCTGATCCTCATCTGACTTGGGCCTCTGTGGGAACTCCTGAAGACAAAAGCAATCTGGCCATTCCAATATAAAAGCAAAAGAGAATCGGAAGCTTAGAGGAACCAGCTTTTCATGCCCAAAAAGTAAACCACAAAGACACATAAAGTTCACAAAAAGAAGCAGACCTAAACTTGAAGGCTTGAGTCTCACACAAGAATCAGAAACTACAAAAGAAATTCACATGTCAAAATCACAGAGAAAAAATAATAACATGAAAAACCAAAATAACATATCCCCACCAAACACCAGTAGTCCTCTAGAGGAGTACAATGAGAACCCCCTAGAGATAATGCAGGACATGGAACTCAAAAGAACAGTTATAAGCATGATAAAAGAATTTGTTAGCTAGCATAGACAACAATGAACAATAAAAGAAAAAGATTGAGATGTTAGTGTTCATCAGAACTAAAAATGCATGCCCACTACAAGACACAAAAACCGAAAGATAAGATGCACTGGTAGAAAATATATGCACTGTGCACATGACAGCAGGAGTTTTTTTGTTTTTTTGTTTTTTTTCTGAGCCAGGTCTCACTCAGTAGCCCAGGCTATCCTAGAACTCACAATGTAGCCCAGGATGACCTTAAATCCACAGTGATCTTCCTGAATACTGGGATTATAGGCATGAGTCACCCTGCCTGGCATGGTCATACATTTTTTATTTGACACATAAAGAACTAAAAATTAAAAAAAAAATAAACAACTAATTGGCAAATGACTTGCACAAGCACCACCTTAAAGAAGGGTCATGTAAATGCATTTAAGAGTGCTCAACCTCTTTGGCCATCAGGGACATACAAAGAGGAGCCGCCCTGAGAAACCACTATGTGTTAGAGTGGATGCGAGTGCAGAGGGGACAGTTGACAGGCCAGGTGAGGGTCAGAGCGGCTGGAGTGTAAAACAGGACACTAGTGGCATGGTTATTTTGCTGTTTCTAATAAAATTAAACACATGACTTCCTAAGACCCAGCAATTCTAGGCCTGGAGCTGCACAGTCAGTGTTTAACCCAGGAAAAGACTTACTGAAGGACAGCATGGCAGCTGTTTGCAACCCGGGAACACTGGAGGGATGTTTGTTCTAGTTTTTGTTTGCTTGTTTGAGACAGATTCTTTTTAAAATATTTATTTATTATTTACTTATTTGATTTTTTTGAGACAGGGTCTCCTGGTAGTCCCAGCTGGCCTGGAACTCACTGTGTAGACCAGGCTGTCCTTGAACTCGCAGAGATCCTCCCGCCTCTGCTTCTGAGTGCTGGGATTAAAGTCGTGCACCACCACACCTGGCTTATTTTGAATTTTCTTCTTTTATTTTTAATTTTTTTCTTTAATTTGTTTTGCCTGCATGTATGTAAGTGCACCATGTGTAATGCCCACAGAGGCTAGAAGAGGGTGTTGGATCCCCTGGAACTGGAGTTATGGATGGTTGTTAACTGCCATGTGGACGCTGGAAACTGAACTCAGGTCCTCTGTAAGAGCAGCCAGAGCTCCTAACCACTAGGCTGTCTCTCCAATCCCTTGAGAGATTCTTAATCAGTAGCCAGACTGGCCTGAAATTCAGAGGAATCCTCCTGCCTCAGTTTCCTGAGTGCTGGGATTACAGCTATGCGCTGCCATGCCCAGGAGTGTTTATTCTATTTTATGGAATGAAGTGTTGCCCAACTCTAGAACTGAAGTTAAAGTGAAATGAAAGTCTATAGAAAGAAGGCAGAGAGGGAGGGAGGGAACTGGACACCCATTATTTATCAAGAAAATAATGGGTAAACAAATTGTGGAAATACTTTTCTGCAATAAAAAAGAACATTCTGTGTGTCTATATGTGGGGAAACTTTTGGAGCCTGTGACGCTTCTAAGAATTTAACTTAAAGAAAGAATGAGTACTGAGTGTCAGGATCTTGCTACAGCAATATTTATTATAGAGTGGTTTATAAAACAGCAAAAATTTGAAGCCACCTGGGGTCAGAGGTTGTTTGCTTGTCTGTGTTCTATAGTCATTCACTCTTCTGAAATCAGTTCACTGGGGCAGAAGCAGACCTGGCTTCCCCAATGTCCTTTGTGGGTGACACTGTCATGCAACATTGTTTCAGCCAATGAGACTTAAGCAGCATCAGTTGGCTGGCCATCAAGGAGGCTTCTTAGAAGGACAGGACTTACTGATAGGCACCTTTTACCCCCTGCCTCTTTCCTTCCTGAACTGTAGCTGTGCTGGATGGAGCTCTAGCCATCAACTTGACAGACGGTGCTGTGGGATGCTAGGAGGAGCCTGGGTCCCTGAGGTGTGAAGGAGCCTCAGTCGTGACCTCCAGACTTCTTTTATACAAGAGCCAAAATAGACACCCACCACGATCAACTGTGTTGTGTAGTTTTTTTTCTGTTACAAGCAGCTAGATTCAGTTTTAGTTGATATCGAACTATACTAGGAGCATGGTGAATAAATAAAAATCCAGGCATACTATAGAACATGCTATAGCTGTTCCAGACATGTATAGAGAAAGATCTAGAACATAGAGAAGTGTTTGTGATAAACCATTAAGTGGGCAGAAGGCAGGATGCATAGTGTCTTGGATAACTACAGTTGTCAACTTGACATACCTGGGAGAGAGAACCTCAGGTGGGGAAATTTCCTCCATCATATTGACCTATGGCATATCTATGAGGCATTGTCTTGATTGTTGAGTGGTGTGGGAGGGCCCAGTCCACTGTGGGCCGTGCCACCCCTGGGCAGGTGGTCCTGGCTTGTATAAGAAAGCAGGCTGAGCACAGGCCAGAGGAGCACGCCAGTGAGCAGCACTCCTCCATTGTCCGTGCTTCAGTTCCTGCCTCTAGGTTCCTGCCTTGTGACCTGGGAGTTATAAACTGAAATAAAGTCTTTCCTCCCCAAGCTGCTTTTGATTCAAACCTTTCTGGGTGGCGGCACCACGATTCTTCATTTCAATTTCTCAAGGTACATAATATCTCAAAATTCCCATTTTGTGATGGAATGAATAGCTATAGTGTTATTAAAAAGGAAATTGGATTTAAAAAACCACACAAACAACCAAGTAACCAAGTTACAGTCAGGAAAATGAAGAGTAGCTGGGTGTGTATCTCAGTTGCTGGAGTGCTTGTCTAGCACACACAAAGGCCTGGGTTTGGTCCCTAGTACCACGTAAACCGAGTGTGGTGGTGCACAGCTGTAATTCCAGCACTAGAGAGGTGGAGGCAGGAGATCCAGGAGTTCAAAGTCATGGGCCAGTGAGATGGTTCATCGAGTAAAATCACTTGCCTTGCAACCCTGACAACCTGAGTTCAAGCCCCAGGACCCACAGTGGAGAGAACTGACTCCTGAAAGATCGTCTACACACGGACACATATACACAATTTAATTTGAAAAAAATTCAAGGCCATCATCAGCTATATTATGAGTTTGAGGCCAGCCTGGGCTAGATGAGATCCTGTCTCAAAACTACAATGACCATCACCCCGAATCCCCTGGAAGACTTGAGCACACTGGTGCCTGCCACGCCCTTCAGCCCCAACCCCTCCTTTTGGCCCGCATCGTTCACCTGGCTTCCCCGGCTCCTGAGACCCTCTGTGCTACTGTTTTCCAGGGCGTCGTTCTTCTCTGAGGCAGATTCGCGGTCAGGGGCTCCTTTGTAGAATTCACACTTTCTGGTGAATCTGTGACATTTAAGTAATGGAGCAAGTTAGAAAATATACATCTCTCCCTTTTCCGGAAAATCTACGACTGTCAGGCAGTGGTGACTGTCACCCTGGAAGGAGGAGATGGAGTGAGGATGGCTGTCCCCCCTCTGGCTCCCCAAAGGGACATTTTCCATGCCTTGTCCTGCATTAGGTGACCTGAGAGGCCATCAATACCAGCAGCTTTACGTATGTGTACAGCACACACATGCTAGCTGGTGGAGAGGGGATACTGGAACTGTGATACAAGCCTGGATGGTGTCTTGGAACTGTGATACAAGCCTGGATGGTGTCTTGGAGGACATAAAGCCACAGCTATTGGCACCCTCTTTTCTACTATACAAAATCACTTGTAATGTGTCCATCTCTTTACATCTAGTCCTTGTTGATGCTTAGTCTTTTCAAGTCTAGTTTCTGCCCCTAGAATGTCACATCCACCCAGTGGACTTGCAAAGCTGCTGTAGCTGGTTTGGAAAGTCTGGTGCCTTCCAGCTCCGATCTCTGCACATGGCAAACTCAGAATGCCAGTGATCTTCTGTCCTTAGTGCCCCAATCAGAGAGGCCTAGTGGCCAGGGGCACTTTGCCCACTCCTAGTCCCCTGCCCCGTCCTGCGCATACCCTCATTAGCAAAGCAGGGCAGGGGATCCCCCCTGGACTTTGGGTGAAGGACTTGTACGTGGAAAGTAACTCCAGAGAGGAGTGGGGAGTTGCTTTAACAAGGAAGCCATGTCTGATAAGAATATTGGTAGGGGCACCGGGGGCACTTTGGGAGTGGCAGGAAGGAGGTGACTCTGTCCTGGTCTTTGTCAGTGCCGGCAGGTTGGCTCAGGGAAGCTATAGGCCCCAGGCTCTCTCCCCATCTGCCTGTTTCCTTCTCTATTGTCACCTCAGACACAGCCCTGCTCCACTGTTAGGGTTTGGATAGGAATGTCCCCAGAGGCTCTGGTGTTGAAAGTTTTGTCCCCAGTTGGTGGTGCTATTGGGAGGTGGTGGAACATGAGGAGCAGGACTTGGGGAGGACTGTCATGGGGGGGGGCGTGTCCTGGAAGGCGTCTTGTCTCAGACCTCGCCTCACTCTCTGCCTACTTTCTCCTCACTAAGAGGAGAGTGTGGTCCTCCACCACACATTCCATCACCTTGATATTGGCCAAAATGATGGAGCTGGTCATCCCTGGATGAATCCTCCTGCAGCCAGGAGCCCAAATTTGCCCTTCCTCCTTCAAGCAGACTTATCCTGAGGTGATTTTCCCACAGCAAATGAAGAGAACTCCTGTGGCCCAGTCCTGGCAGCCATATGTATTCCTCTATACGCTGCACTCCTGCTCTGTTCAGTAGGGTGACCACTGTCCACACAAGGCTCTCGACACCTGAGATGTGGTTAGTGTGGCCTCAGGAATGCATTTTTTCATTTCCTTCAACTTAATTTAAACCTAAGTGTGAAAACAGATCCTCAATTCAATGATTGGAAAACATCTAAGACTATTTGGAACAATTTGGGTATGTAAATTTTCTGACTGTACATTTTATGAAATCTAAATCCAGATCAAGTATTTCCAGTGATGATTTGGTGAGGGAAACACAAGGGGCTATACTATAAAACACTCAACATGTTTCAAAGACAGTATGCAAAAAGATATAAAACATTTCATTGATAAGTTACTTTTTTCAGACAAGGTCTCACTATGTAGCCCAGGCTAGCTTCAAATGCTCAGTCCTCCTGCCTAGTACTGGGATTATAGGTGTGTGTCATCATGCCCGGCTCACTGATTATTAATTGCAGGATATAGGGATCATATTTTGGATCTAATATTGTATTAAATAAAATACATTACTACAATTAACTTTATCTACTTCTTTGTAATTTTTCATGTGGCTACTGGAAGATTTAAAGTGACATATGTGGTGGGCTGTTGTCATATTTTTATTGGGCTGCAAAGTTCTTTTGTGTGGTGTGTGCGTGCATGAATGCGTGCGAGTGTGCGTGCGAGTGTGTGTGTGTGTGCGCATGCCCATGTATGTGTGTGTAGAGGCCAGAGGTTAACCGCAGGCGCTGTCCACCTTGATTTATTTTTAAGACAGATCTCTTATTGGCCTAAAGCTTGCTGATCAGGGTGGGCTGACTAACCGACTAGCTCAAGAATCCTCCTGTGTCTGTCTCCACAGTGCTGGGATTACAAGCACATGCCACTACATCTCACCTTTTCACATGGGTTCTAGGGCTTAGACTCAGGTCTTCATGCTTACATGACGCACTTACTGACTGAGCTGTCTCCCCAGAGCTGGGCTGCAGGGTTCTATCCCCCATCTCTGTCTGTGTGGGATTTGGGGCTGACTGAAAACTGAACTGGTTCAAGCTGTACTACTCCTAGCTGTGTGATATGGGCTAAATGACTGTCTCTTCTGGCCTCAGTTTGTTTGAACTGTAAGTGGGAATGCTAATAATACCTTTGAAACACCTGTCTAGCGTGGCCACTGTCAGTTCTGCCTTCTCTCTGGGCATGGTCTCGCTCATCCTTCAAGACTCATCTGAGATGCTTCCTCCATGGCACAGCCTTCCTTGACCCAACTGGAAGTGTCTCTTTTGGCTTTACCACCTTGACACACAGCTTACAGGAAAGCAGCATTGTCATGGTGCTGCAGTTCCTCAAGGGCCGAGGCTCCACCTGTGTGTCAGGGTATATTTTCATTTTCAATTTATGGCTGCTTTCTAACTCACAGAAGTCAAGGGAGTAATACCCAGTAGCAAGCCCCGGCTACCATGACTGCGGTATTTCAGACATCACGTCTCTAGATTCATTTTGTCTGGACACAGGATTCTCTGGGTGTTTGTGGTATGTCTCAGACACAAATGCTCCTAGCCTCAAGTTGGTAGTCAGGATCCCACCCGTTTTCCCTGGGCCCAGCCTGTTGGAGGATGAGACACGTGCAGAGGCAAGCAAGTATTCCAGCCGAGGCCCCCTTAAGCTCCTGGGTAACCACTGGACATCTGAGCCAGGCCATCCTCACTTCCCAGCCCTGAGAGCCACCAGCATAATGGAGGTCAGGCACACTGGCCCAGCGAGGAAAGCGCCAAACCAGTCCCACACTCGAGAGATTATAGTATGTTGCTGTAAGTCTCTCTGTGTTGAGGGTAGCTTAGCTTTAGGCTTCAAGCCATCCTTACAAGACATGGGGTTTGATGAATATTTTTGAACAGCCACAGAAGCTCTTGGTCCTGATGCTGGGGGTGGGGGTGCCTCCAACACGTTGGGCATAGCATGCCATCTGGGGATAGCTGCTAGGGTCTGGAAAGCCATTCCATAATTAGCAAATTGAGCATGTTACCTTGACAGCCCCATGGGCCGCCTGAAGGAGGGAGGTCTACAGCTGTGACACACCCCATTTATAAAGGCTGCTGAAATTAATTCTCAACAAACATACTCTAAGCAGATGAAATCAGACTGGAACCCCAAGGTGAGAGATTTGGGGGTCTCGCTGCAAAGATACCCCAAGATTTTAGTCTCATGTTCAAGACATCAGAAACCCCTCACTTGTGGGGACAGAGAGGACATGCCAGAAGTCACCGCTGAGGAAACTGCTGTTAAATGACCTGGGTATTGATCTCCCTCCTAGAATACGTGTGCAACTGGAGGACTTGGTTGAGTCTCTTAAGCAGGAGCCTGTTTTGCTGTATGACCTGGGGTGGTTTTATCGTCATACTGTGAGAAGGTGCGGTCTTTAGACAATGGTTGCGAGTGTCCCACCTTGTTGAACCTGCTCCTGGTCACTCTTAATGCCTTTTGTTCTTGTTTAGTTTAATGAGACTTTGAGCACTGGTGACTCACCCAGACAGGTACTGACCTGCCTGGTGTCTGGTGCTCCTGTCCGCTGTGCTTCTGGCCTTGCTTCTGTGTCTCATGGCACGGTTGAAGATGGAGTTCCTCTGGATTGGAATGCGGCAGAGGGGTTCTTCATCTTGGGTCTCCTCGTCAGCCTCGGGAGTCTTCCTGTTCTCTGGGAGTAACTCGGGCCTTGCCTCATCTGGGCCATAATTGATCTGCGAGAAGCTTACTGATTTCCTCTGGGGCTTTTCCCAGTCTTCAGAGTCTTTGGTCTCCATGGCAATAGACCTAATGGTTTCTCAGCAGCACTGCTGGGGTCAGTGACCTCCCCGGTTTGATCGGTGTCCACGGCTTTAGACTAGAAAGAGAACAATTGTCAGTTAGAGTCATCAGGCTAAGTGGAGCATTCAGACTATGAAATTGCTCTCCCATTCCAGTTTGACGAAATTTGGAATAATCTGCAAACGCCACCAACTGCGTCTTTGTCAATGAGGATCGCAGCACACCCACTCGTTCAGAGGCAGTTATGTATCATCCTATAATTGAGGCTTGTTTATACTATTCATAGGACGCACTTTGGGGAAAACGCTTAAAGTGGTTTGCATAACTAACTTTCAAGTAAACATTTCCTGAATAACTCTAGACAAAAAGAGTACCAAAAATAGCAAGAAAACTCCAGAGAAACAAGGGGACGTTAAGGGCAGACGCACGAAGAAAGAACCACAGGGTGAGGGGAAGGTGCTGCATAGACATCATTTAGGCCTGAGCAAACTTGAACTCTATGAGGACAAAGCTCTTCTATCAGCCTGTGGCCAAGTCTAGCTGGGTTAGTGGCCTCTGTGTGGAAGAGGACTCATCCCACGGATGTCCCCATGGCTGGAGTCACAGAACCCCTGGGTGACTGTGACTCCAGCCATATCACCCACACTAGGGTGTAGAGAGCAGTAGAGCGACTCAGGCAAACCTAGCCCCCTCCCACCACGGACCTCCTTCCTAGATGGGGACTCTCATGTGGTGAGGGCCGCAGTGGGCTGTTTGAGAGGGGGTACCACTGATAGGACAGCGTGCTGGACCGTGAAGCCAGCTGGGATTCTCAGGAGCGTCCTACCCACCTGAAGTTTTGGAATCTGGGGGTCTCTGGACTCCACAGAGAATTCAAGGGTCCAGAAGCCTATGAGTTTGTAGGAGCTGGTGTGCTTTCTGAGTCACAGATCAGGGCTACCTTTTGTTCTTTCTGGAGGTCACTCTCTGGAACACTTAAGAAGCCGCTCTGCATCTGGAGCTTCTGTAAAATGGGGTCAGAGGGGGAGCTGCACCCAGGACCCCCCCACTCCTTTTCTTACCAAGCCCCTCCCTCCAGCCCAGCTGCATACTTTACCTTCAGGGTAGCAGCTAAGCTAGGGGTATCAGGAAGAGCTGGGGTTCCCTGGAGATGGAGGATGGCCTTGTTCATATAAGGCAGGACTTTCTGGGTAGGGGGATTTGAGAGCTGAAGCCCTCTCCCCAGAGCCAGCCCCCTGCACGTCTGTTTGCATTCCATGAACACTCTTGCCCACACATAGCCAAGCAGATTCAAGCTACATGAAGGGCTCAGGAGGCAGAGGCTCACTGAGAAAGGGCCTGTCTCAGAGCAGCATCGAGGGGCGTTATAACACTACCTGCGTTCAGGGGGCCTAAGGAGTGCCACTTCTGTCCTGGTTACCACTTCTGATCCATGATAGCAAGGAGGAGGGGTGTATACTCTGGACTCTGGGAGGTCCCCATCCAGCCAAGGGTAAGCTGCTACATCTGGTGGCCAGAGGAGGTTGTTGTAATGGCTAAGAGGGCGTACTGAGGTTGGACAGTTAATATTCCATCCCTCCTAAGAGTGCCTAGTAGGATGACACATCATAAATGTGTCATGACACCCTCAACCCGTGGTTCCAGCAATACCAGGGAGTGATCTCCATCACAGCAAGTTCAGCATGAGTCAACAGCGGATGCAGCAGCCATGAAAACCAGAGTCCCTGAGCCAGAGTGGTTAAGAGCACTGGCTGCTCTTGCAGAGGAAATGGGTTCTGTTTCTAGCACCCACATGGTGGTATATAACTGTCTGTAGCTCCAGCTTCAGAGGATCCAACACCCTCTTCAGACCTCCTCAGGCACTGCACACACAGGTACACTTACATACATGCAGGAAAAACATTCATATGTATAAAATTTTTTTAAAATTATTTTCTATTTTTGTATTTTATGTGTATGCGTGTATTGCCTGCATGTAGGTAAGTGCACCTGTGTCGTGCAATGCCTGCGGAGGTCAGAAGAGGCTGTTGGATCCCCTGGGACTGGAGTTACAGACAGTTGTTAGCTGCCATGTGGGTGCTGGGATTTGAACCAGGGTCTTCTGCAAGAACAACCAGTGTTCTTAACCGCCAAGCCATCTCTCCAGCCCTCATATGCATAAAATAAAAAAAAGATTTTAAGTATTTTATTTATTATTTTTATTTTATGTGTATGAGTGTTTTGCCTGCATGTATGTAAGTGCACCTGTGTGTGCAATGCCTGAGGAGGTCAGAAGAGGGTGTTAGGCTCCCTGGGAACTGGAGTTATGAATGGTTGTTAGCCACCGTCGGGGGCTGGGAATTGCAGTCAGTGCTCTTAACTGCTGAACCATCTCTCTAGCCCCCCAAAATAAAAATAGATTTAAAAAATTTAAAAGAAAGAGTCCCTGAGGCAAACAAGAGAACAAGAGTAAGCTTGCAAGTGAGGCATCTGTCCCTGCCAGATGAGCAGGGTGCGAGGGCTGCCTGGACAGGCAGAGAGGACTCACGCAGGAGCACAGCGGTCTCTGTTGTCACCATGTGTCCTCTCGGGGCAGGACAGGGAGGGGTAGAATAAAGACTGTGGTTGGATAGAAGGCAGGGACTTTGCAGTTCAGAGCTGTCCTCAGGTGGTGTGGCTGAATGGGATGACATTCTTGGTCACTTGAGGAGGCTGGGGAGCTTCAAGACTTGGGGTTCAGTGACACCCACTTACCCTGACATTGTTCTTCTTCCTCTGCCTGTTCTGCCTTCTACCTCGGCCCAACTCTTCTGCTGAGTGTGTACTCAACTCAGAGCTGGATCTGGGATACCAATAGGACAGGGTCTCCGGGGAGAGAAGGGATGGGTGCTGTAGGGGCCAGTGTGGGAAGCGAGTCTCAATCCTGTGCGAGATAGGAAACGGGTGGCAGGATCCCAAGTAAGTCTGGGGGCATGCTGAGGTGTGACAAGTGTTACACAGGTGTGGCAGGTGAGTGGGTACCTGGACCAGGCCAGGGAGGGGCGAGGGGTGAGGAATCAAGGATTGTGACTCGTGGTGATTTGGGGAAGAGCAGGCAGAGAGTCCTGGTGGTGGTGGGCCAGGGTGATGAGATGATGAGGCCGCTGCCTGTCAGGGATATGGTAGTGGGGCTGGTTTTGAGTTAGAGCATGCTGGTTTTGGGGTGTCAGACACAAGAGGAGAGTCTGTAGCAGAAACTCCTGATGGCAGCTGATCAACTCTGCTTAGGTGGTATCTTCCGGATCTGACCAGTTAGGATCCTGCAGCCCTAAGGAGGTCATCAACATTCAAGAGCACTATTCTCATTATCATGTCAGTCCACTTTCTGTTCCTGTGACAAAATACCCGAGATCAAGGACTTATAAAAAAGGAAGGTTTGCTTTGGCTCATGATCCTAGAGGATTCAGTCCACAGTTGATTGGCCCTGATGCTTTGGGGCCTGTAGCAAAATAGCACATTGTGGTGGGAGTGCTTGGGGGAGAAAGCTGCTTACTTTATGGCGGCCAGGGGAACACAACAGGAAGGAGCAGGGTTCCCAACATCCCCTTCAAGGGCATGTCCTCAAAGACCTAACTTTCTCCCCTAAGCCTCACCTCATAAATGTTCTGCTGTCTCCCAGCACTGCCACAGGTTGGGGACCAAGTACATGGGCCCCGGGAGGCACATACCCAAATCCTAGCAATTATCACTGCATTAGTAACATCAACGTGGTGGTGGTCCCTGGCTGTCAACTTGACAGGCTAGTTAGGGCTACAGAAGAGACAAGCTTCTAGGCAGGTCTGTGAGGTATTATCTAGATTAGGTTAAGTAAAGCAGTTAGACCCATCCTAAATATGAGTGGCACCATCCCATGTACGGGGATCCTAGACGAATAAAAAGGAGAAAGTGAGATGAGTCTAGTATTTACTGCGCTCTGCTTCCTGACTGTGGATGCGATGTGACCAGCTGCCTCGGGCTCCTGCTGCCCTGACTTTCCCACTATGATGACCTTATTATCCTGAACTGTCAGCCAGAGCAAACCCTTCCTTCTTTAAATTGCTTCTTTTCACATATTTTGTCACAGGAAGAAAATTTACTAATACAATGACCATAACATTTTAAGCTACATTTTTACAAATTGAATCAAGATTTACATAGAGTAAAATGTAATATTTTTATTTATTTGTGGGTTTTTTTTTTTTTTTGGTCTTTTTGAGACAGGGTCTCCCTGTCCTGGAACTCACTATATAGACCAGGCTGGCCTTGAACTCACAGAGATCCGCTTGCCTCTGCCTCCTGAGTACTGGGATTAAATGCGTGCACCGCCATACCTGGCCTATTTGTTATTTTTTAATTTTATGTGTATGAGTATTTTACCTGCATGTATATATGTATGTGTATCTGTGTCATGCAATCCCCACAGAAGCCAGAGGAGGGTGTTGGATCCCACTAGAACTGACAATAGTTAGCTGTCATGTGGGTACTGGGAACCAAACTTGGGTCTCTGTAAGAACAGTCAGTGCTCTTACCACTTAGCCATCTCTCCAACCCTAAATGTACTCTTTTTAGAGCACATATGAGTTCACCAGTGTGACTGGTTCACCCCCTCCCTCAAAGTACAGTTCCTCTATCCCAAGGCACTCCCTTGTGCCCCATTACAGCTCCTGGTGACCACTGGTCTGCTTGGGTTCCCTCCTGGGTACTTTTTCCTGATGGCCATGGAGATTTGGCTAGGTGGCAGGTGGCCTCTTTATCTTGGTATCCTGTATTTGCAAGTCTGCCTGTCATTGCCTGGTTAGTGCTAGCCATGAGTATTCACTGTGCAGTGCTACAGAATAGGAAATCCTTAGGATTTGCTGCCAGGGACTAGGACTTGGGTTCAAATTTCCACTTCCAGCTGACTGTAGCATGCAGAAAGTTTGGCCTCAGTTTCCTGTCCAGGATCAGTATGTGCACAAGGTGGGGGTATTATGGTCTGCAACAACTTCTGGCTCGAGTTCTGTGATCTAGGGAGGCTGAGGAGCCCTCGATGGAGGTTTGTGGACTGACAAGACCTAGGGATCAATCACAAGGCATTCC